CGTTTCAAGTACACCTTCACGTACGGGTCATTCATATCCAAACATTTTTTGTTAAGGAGATTTTTTTTTTTTGTGAGATGAGAGGAAGAAGAAAAAATGCTTACTACAACAATGTGATCGGTCTGGTCGAGCAGAGATGAAACTTGACTCAAGAATTCCGGATTCTTCACTCGACCTGATATATGTATGTGTGTGTGTCAGCGTCCAAAGAATGCATTTTGATCAGGTAATTAATTAATTGAAAGCGTATATATATACCGTGAGGGGAGTTGAACATGTAGGGGACGTTGAAGATTTTAGGTGCGAGACAGTGGCCTCTTCGGAACTCCTCCCGGGTCCTTTAATTACATACACACACAGAGTACAATCTTCATTACTCAGCATATCTCACGTCAGTACAAGTATAGAGAGAGAAGCTGATCACATGCAGTACCTAACATCGAGATAAGAATGGCGACCTGCTTCCACCAGTCTCTTTGCTTCGGCCACATCCACCGTCACCACCTCTGAACCTGAGCTGCCCATCCTCCTCCTCCTTTCAACCCAACACGCCCGATAACTGACTTTCTTCTCTAAATAGGCTTCTCCCCTGGTTGCGTCTTGCTGTTTATTTGGTAAAGCCAAAGGTCTTCACATGCTTTCTTTCTGATTCCTACACGTGTTTTCAACCCTTTAAACAATGCAGTTACTTGTCACATCCAAGCGTAGTTTGATAGTTTCATACAATCGCACATGATATGACTCAAAACGAAGTTACTCACGTATCTATATATATATATATATATAATTATAATATATATATTGATGATCATACGTGTACGTTTCCAGGGAAATGGGCTGTGTAAGATTGCTTTAGAGAGACGGAACCTAACATCGACTACGTCACCCGAATGGATTGACCATCTAACCCCATAAGCCTCGGACTCTCTCTCTTTAAAAATAAAAAAAATCAATACTCAAAGTTCGGTGGACATGTTAACATATTAATAATGAAATTATAATAGTGAAATAGATATTAAACATGTGCTGAAACCGAATTTCAAAGCTGTTCAGGTGGGACCAAATGTAGACTGGACTTGGGGGAGCTGTTGTCCAATATCTTTCCTTTTCTTCAAAACTCACTCTTCAGATTCCCTCCCCCGGGCCCAGGGAGACGGAAGTAAAGCGGGCCTTTTGGGCCCATTAAGCCCATTTAGCTCCTGGTGTCCAGATGACGTCATTTGATTGGCTGAAATGAAAAGTTATATGAACCCGAGCACAGATGATCTCAACAAGACTGGGTTTTAGCTTGTCGCCTAAGTTCGAATCGTATCTTACGAATACGCTTGCCCGTCCACTCCGAACAAATCGTAAGAGGCCTCGTCGGAAATTAGAGGGAGGACGGAGAAAGGTGAGAGATGGCAAGATACGATCGAGCAATCACAGTGTTTTCCCCCGACGGTCACCTCTTCCAGGTTGAGTACGCCCTCGAAGCCGTCCGTAAAGGTAACGCCGCCGTCGGGGTTCGCGGCACCGATACCATCGTCCTCGCCGTCGAGAAGAAATCCACCCCCAAGCTTCAGGATTCCAGGTATTCGTTCGACCTTGTCAAACTAGTTTTTTTTTCTGCTGGATTTCGTTCCTATGGGTGTTCCGCTCTTTGGTTCGGGGTTTAGCTTGACTTCAATCGCTCGGTTAGTCATGTTGCTTCTTGACTGGTCGATTTTGATATCCCCTCCCATATCAAATTCTGATGTTTGGTTTCTGTATGAGTTGGATCTCTTAGCCTTTTAGGACTAGAACCATAGTTAAGATCTTTCATCTACGAGTATGTAAAACTAACCTTGTTTCTCTAAGATGGGAGGAAAGGCGCAACATTCCTTCCACAAATCTCTTGGGCGCGTTTATTTATTAGGGTACAGCTTCAGTCCTACCCTCTTGCTTGATCCTTCCCGCCGTAAAATTACCTATCAATTGATGAACTGGAACTCCTGTCTTGTTCAGATGTCGAACCATTACCACATGCCTATGTATCAACCCATTCTCTTCTATTGGTATTTATCTGGATTAGTTGGAGGAGGGTAGGATCTAGTTTGTATTTCTTCTCAATTGCTTGTGTTTGTTTAAGAAAACAACTTCGGCACTTTTTTTTTCCTTACAGATCGGCTAGAAAGATCGTGAGCCTAGATAACCACATTGCTCTGGCCTGTGCTGGGCTCAAGGCAGATGCACGTGTCCTGATAAACAGAGCAAGAATTGAATGTCAAAGCCACAGGCTTACTGTAGAGGACCCTGTGACTGTTGAGTACATCACCCGGTACATAGCAGGGCTTCAACAGAAATACACTCAAAGTGGTGGAGTCAGACCATTTGGTCTCTCTACTCTTATCGTTGGTTTTGACCCGTACACTGGTGTGCCCTCGCTTTATCAGACTGATCCATCGGGTACTTTCTCTGCTTGGAAAGCTAATGCAACCGGGAGAAACTCTAACTCGATTAGGGAGTTTCTGGAGAAAAACTACAAAGAAACATCAGGCCAAGAAACTGTTAAGCTCGCTATCCGGGCTTTGCTTGAGGTGAGTTTTCTCCTAGCATTTTCTCTCGCTAGTCCGAGTGGTAGGTTTTGGCATTATTCCCCGATGAGCCGTCTTTAAAGTGGATCACGATATCAGGTCTTTTAGTTTCTTTTTAGCATGGGATTGTAATTTTAGCATGATACTGCAACTGGGAACCAAATGTGCAGGTGGTAATGTTTGAGAGATGGCTGTAGTTGGGGAGGGAAGCCATTAACAAATTGCCAGAGAGCACTTAATTCTGTGTTATAGAATTTATTGATATTTGGTGGGTGATTTTTCAAGTTTTAGTGCCATGATGGGAATGCAAATTCACGGGTACCTGAGGCATTTGCGTATGTGCAGGTAGTTGAGAGTGGGGGAAAGAACATCGAGGTTGCCGTAATGAGGCAAGGGCGTGGTCTTTGCCAGCTAGAAGAAGCTGAGATCGATGCCATCGTGGCGGAGATTGAAGCAGAAAAGGCAGCCGCAGAAGCCGCCAAAAAAGCCCCCCCAAAGGAAACTTGATTTGGCATCTTCCAAGGATCGATCCCAGTTTATTAATCATGCTCGCCTCTTGGCAGTTTAACTGGGTTTGCTCTTCTTTTTCACTTTTGGTTCATCAACGGATCTTTCTGAGCTATCAGAGCGGAAATATGAACAGTTTTCAGTTGTGAGTTTGCTTTGATTGATATATAAAAGCCGGGGCTCATGCGTATCCCGTTTTGAATGGGCTGAGACAGGATTTCTATGCCAACGACCCAAAAATGGAGATGGCCCACGCAGGCTTCGAACCCAATGGAATCTATACCGATTACCAAAATAAATAGTACAAGTAATGTAATACATTAATTTTTTTTCAGAGGGGCTTCCCAAGTATCGCGGAAAATTAGAGGAATTGAAAAACTACATCTCAACTCAAGCGTCATCATTAGAGCAGAACTGTTCACATGGAAGACGCAGAAAGGACAGTACAGGATTAGGAGGACGTTGTTGTGTCACTCTCTCTCACCAGTCTTCTATTTCATCTTCGGATGTTTCTTCAATCTCTTGGACCTTCCGATCAGTCTTTCTGGATGCCTCGAACACTAGCCATTTCAGAAATGGGGCATACTCTGTCGCCATCTCTGATGCTTCGGACGCTCAATACGCTTGCCCGTCCACTCCGAACAAATCGTAAGAGGCCTCGTCGGAAATTAGAGGGAGGACGGAGAAAGGTGAGAGATGGCAAGATACGATCGAGCAATCACAGTGTTTTCCCCCGACGGTCACCTCTTCCAGGTTGAGTACGCCCTCGAAGCCGTCCGTAAAGGTAACGCCGCCGGCGGGGTTCGCGGCACCGATACCATCGTCCTCGCCGTCGAGAAGAAATCCACCCCCAAGCTTCAGGATTCCAGGTATTCGTTCGACCTTGTCAAACTAGTTTTTTTTTCTGCTGGATTTCGTTCCTATGGGTGTTCCGCTCTTTGGTTCGGGGTTTAGCTTGACTTCAATCGCTCGGTTAGTCATGTTGCTTCTTGACTGGTCGATTTTGATATCCCCTCCCATATCAAATTCTGATGTTTGGTTTCTGTATGAGTTGGATCTCTTAGCCTTTTAGGACTAGAACCATAGTTAAGATCTTTCATCTACGAGTATGTAAAACTAACCTTGTTTCTCTAAGATGGGAGGAAAGGCGCAACATTCCTTCCACAAATCTCTTGGGCGCGTTTATTTATTAGGGTACAGCTTCAGTCCTACCCTCTTGCTTGATCCTTCCCGCCGTAAAATTACCTATCAATTGATGAACTCGCTCTTCCCGCACTACGGTCTCCGTCTCTCCTCCGCATCATCATCTCCTTCTGTGTTTACGCATTCAAAACTCACATGAGACACTTGCCAGTGAAGTTTATGCTGAAACAATAATCCATAGTTTTATCCGGTAATGAAGAGGAAAAAAAATAAGACTGAATCTTTCCAAAGCTTTAAGGCAGGACCTTGGTCTGTGTTGAGGATTGTTCGACTTGCCAGAGTTTTGGCCTGCGAATGGAGTGCCACCTATATATCCAACAGGACCATTCAAGTTCAGACATGCAAAATTCAAACTGATTTCCAGGCATTACTTACGTAGGCCAAACCTGGAGGAAGATGGAAACTTGTTTCCATATAACACGCCACGAACAGCTACTGAGGCTCCAGCTGATTGTAGAATGTTTTCTGCTTCGTTGCGCCTAGACAGCTCTCCTCTAAAAGATGCGACGAAGACATCAGCATCGGCCAAATATGAAGATACACACCACGCATCATCTATGGCTTCCTCTCTCATAAAATCCAGCACTTCATAAACGCCACCAATCACACGTTAGAGAGAATTTCAGCAAGAACAATTCAGACTCATTCAGAAGGTCCACAAGTGCATCTGCGTGTATGTTAAGGAGAAGTATGAAGTATATGCTACATAAGCAACTTGGAGATTCAAGATGGGTCAGTACCATTTTCATGAAGAAAATCCACCACAGACCTTGCCTGCCCATGTGCTTGGGAGAGAACCTTCTCTGGAGCATCCATTTTCAGTGGCAATCTTGCAAACTGATCTCGTACAAGAAACTCTCTGCAGCCTGACACAAATATTAGCTTATAACGGAACGATCTAAAGCTCACAAACCGCAATCCCAAAACTTGTTGGTAATGAATTACCTGATCCAATAACATTATCCGTCTCCCTCTTGTTGTGGAGAAACTTTCCCAGGGCGTGAAACAAAGTGAGAGTTTCATCTCTGCCAAAACAAGGAGAGATTCCCTCATCCAAGGCAGTGCCATGCCTCGGCGAAATTTTCTTGGTACGATTCAGCACTGGCCCAAGGGAGTAGAGTTGCAAAGATGTAATTGCATGTCTGATGTCACCTCCACAGGTGCTTGCTATTTGATCAATCTCCTCGGCAGTTACATTGCAATGCTCTTCTTTGCATATTCTCTGAAGTGTCTTCTTAATTGAGTTCTTTGTAATGGGATTGAAAGCGACCTGGGGGAAAAAAAATACTCAGATAATCAGCTAATACAATATACATTGGTAGATGAAGACTGCAAAATAGTTGGAGAAACTAACCTTACAAGCCCCGGCTTGCTCAAGAGAAGACTGGAGATCTTCCATGCTTCGTGTCGTCTGGTCGGCAGAATCTGTTTTATTGTAGTCAGTCGTCAATACCACTGTAGGAATCTGAGTTGATCTCACCAAAAGACTTAAGCAATTTTTCAGTCTTTCAAAGGCTAGCCTCCCATTTGTCAGAGGAAGGTCATCGATCAAAAGAACAGCACGGGACTTTGATTCTCCAATGCCCGATGAAGTAATCAATTGGTATTTCCTAGTTCTCTCAACAAAGTTTTCAAACTCATCCAGCTTTGACGTGTATTGCAGTCCTATTAACATGTAACAAAAAGCCATCAAATTTTCTCTGCAGTTAAAAACAAAGAAATAGATTAAGTGCTTTACTACCTGAACTTGAGTTATGTGTATATTCTTGCCAGATTGTAGGAATAGGAGCATCCCACTCGTACACCGTCACACCGAGTGCAGAAGCAATCACATGGACAGTTGCAGATTTTCCAACTCCAGCTTGCCCCGTCAGTAAGAGAACATGATTCCCAAACTCACCCTGCTGGTGCAGAGAATGAAGAAAGCTAAGGATCATGAGCTAAGAGACCACAAGACGACAGCTAAAAGGGAAGTCTCAAACGAACCTTTGGGAAATCCAACCTTTCCTGAAGCCACATTTTGACTTCTTCAACCTGAATAACGCTGAAAGTGTTACTTATGTAAACAACAGAGAAACCAGAGCAAAGAGGAACACAGAACAAAGATACCTTCTTCTTATGAACAGCGAGCTCTTCCAAGGTGTGAGGCCTGTATTTTTCCACCCACAACTCCGTGGATGCGCTTCTTTCATAACCTAAATCAAAGCTAACCCATAAGTTTTTAAAAAAAAAAAAAAAGCAAGGACCAACGGCATGAAAGCCACTGCAAGCAGGAGCAAAATCAAATATTGCTATCACTCGTAAATCCTATCGCAGCAGAACAGAAAATGGGGACCAAACAGAGACTTCCTTTTCCGCATACCGGAAGGTACCTTGAACCCGCTCAGAGCTTCGTCGAAATCTTCGAATGACAATCTGATCTGCATCGAGGACAAAATCGAAATTCAGAGTTTTCCAGTCTTCCCATGTACATCCACCAAGTCAAGAATTGCAAGACGAATTTATAGAAAGCTAGAAATCATGCCTCATCAACGTGATTGGATTCTTTCCTTCTCACAGGACCCGAGACGCGAGCCCTCTTCGCCGCTCTAGGATTCGCGCTGCTACGTCCCGAAGAACCCGATTTCGACTTCGTAACTACCCGAGACGAACTCGAGATACGCCGTTCGTGGTCGTCGTCATCGTCCGACGATAACACAATCGTGGGATTACCTTTCCCCATCGCCTAGGGTTTTAGACAGACGAATCGAACTCGTTAAACCCGATCACAGTCTCCAAAACCTGCTCCGAGGAGCGTAAAGTCCCTGGATTTCCTCAACTCCCCAACTTGGTTTCTCACCGGCGACCTGTCCTCATTCCTCGGATTTCGCTGCTCTACGTTCATGGCCCAACTCTTTTTGGCGGAGAAATTTCGCGGGTTGTGAAACGGCGTCGTTAGCTGGCTCCCGGCGTACATGAGAAGCTCACTTAAGTCCTCTCGTGTTCGGACCCTGTTGGATTTTTTTTATTTATTTATTTTTTTTTGGGGTGGAGATAAATTTCAGAAATATATTTTTTTATATCAAATATGAGCAAATTCATACATGACAGTTCGGTTGCTTCCTTTCAATGGTGGTAATCAAATATGCTAACAACAGCCAATCTTAGGACATCATTCTTTACAGCATTGCTTTAAGACAAAGCAAATTTTTTTTTTTTTTGGTGAAAAAGACAAAGCAAATTTATCACATGAAGACATCACAAGTTTGTTTATCATTATGTGCGTGGACCAAATATAAATAATTAAAAGAAGAAATGGAATGGGACGCAACTGTGAGGCCAACCATCACCGTCAAAAACGAAGTTGTTCATCATACGAGAAAATGTTGCGTTTTCGGTTATTAACTAATAAAAGAGCAAAACCCCAAAAGAAGCGGAGGGAAGAAAGATCACTGGTGGGGGAAGGACGATTGGGTCTAGGGAATGTGAACGCTTCAACTGCATTCTTTCCCGGCCTGGTCTCTCTCTCTGCCCGTTTCCATCATATCCAATTCTGTGTCAAATTCGGTTCTAGGGTTTCGATTCTCTCAGAGAAAGTTTGCTCCTTTGTCATCAGCTGCGTAATACCCAGATGGCCGATTGACGTCGGAGTTTTTTTATAAATAAAAGAGGAAACTCTGGAGGAATTTCGAGATTCATCAGGCGTGGAGATCCGATCTGAGGCTGAGCTTTCTGGGTTTGATATATACAGTTTTTTTGGTTTTCCCTTGGGGGAGGGAAAATGAGCGCTTCGAGGTTCATAAAGTGCGTTACGGTCGGTGATGGAGCTGTCGGGAAAACATGCCTTCTGATTTCTTACACCAGCAACACTTTCCCCACGGTAACTCTTCTCTGCATGGAAGGAAAGATTTCGTCTTCTTTACCAAAAAAGAAAAGAAAAGAGAAAGATTTCATCTTAAGAAACCCAACAGCATCAATTGCTTTTTTTAATCGACAGGATTACGTGCCAACGGTTTTCGATAACTTCAGCGCAAATGTTGTAGTAAATGGAGAAACCGTTAATCTGGGATTATGGGACACTGCAGGTAAGGGTTTGATTTTATATTAGTGTGGAATCTGGGAGTGTTGGACGATAATAACAGATATCGGGGGGGTTGAATACAGGGCAAGAGGATTACAACAGGTTAAGACCGCTGAGTTACCGCGGGGCAGACGTATTCATACTGGCGTTCTCTCTGATAAGCAAAGCCAGTTATGAGAACGTGGCCAAGAAGGTGAATGATGTGCCCATCTCTCTCTCTTGCCGTTCTTTTGGGTAATGTCATGTGGATTGAATGATTTACCTCATTCCAGTGGATTCCGGAGCTGAAGCATTACGCTCCAGGAGTCCCCATCATCCTCGTTGGAGCCAAGCTAGGTCTGTTTCTTCTATACCATTCTCACCTTCCCCGAATAAAACCTCCGACCCATCTTTTGTTTCCTTATTCTCCAGACCTACGAGATGATAAGCAGTTCTTCGTAGACCATCCTGGTGCTGTCCCTATCTCTGCAGCGCAGGTAGTTAGTTGTCAATACTCGTAGTTTTTATTACAAAAACAGAGGAAGCTGTTTGGTGTGTAAACAAAAAAAAGTTTTGTTGGGGGGCTGTGGAAGGGAGAGGAGCTCAGGAAGCAAATAGGAGCGCCCACATACATAGAGTGCAGTTCCAAAACTCAAGAGGTATCGTTGTTATTGTCATTTGTTAATTACAGATGGAAAGGGCATTTGATCATAACTATTGAAACGTTTATGGAATGGGAGGGGGCAGAACGTGAAGGGTGTGTTTGACGCGGCAATCCGAGTAATCCTCCAGCCTCCCAAGCATAAGAAGAAGAAGAGCAAAGCCCAGAAGGCCTGCTCCATCCTATGAACAACACACGCTCTTTCATACAATCCTTTTCATGACATCACTCTTGTTTCTTTTTTTTTTTGGACCTGGTCAAATGCAGAAATGCTCATTCATGCTATATAACTTTTTTTTTTTTTTGGGTCCTGAAAAAATTAAATGGACCATAAACAATTTAAATACAAATACTTGGTGAAAAAAGTAGGCCCAACTTGAAAGCAATGGGCAAAGGCTAAATAAATAGCCCATTAATCAGGGTCGGATCGGAGGGAAGCGAATGTGCGATGGTTACCCCCAGGCGCACTTGGAACACGTTTTCTTCACGCGCCTTTGTTTGTGGGTTTCCAACATCTGAATCTGCTTATGTAATTACTTGTAACTAATTGCAAAGATGACTAGTTTCCTGTTTGGGAATCTGAAATCACTTAAAGTTTGTTCTTATTGGACAAATCCCTAGCGAAGCATGTAGGAAAACATAGAGTGGTTGAGAACAATTTTATACGAATGGGGTGCGATCATATCAGCGCTAATGTACCATATCCATAACGGACTCAATTGGGGGAAAGTCAGGTCAAGATGCGGTGGTGGAGGAGGACGAGGAGTTGGTTGTATTGTTAGGCCAGAGGACCGCCGAAATGTTGGGACTGGAACTCAACATAACGTACTGTGTTGGCCCACAAAGATTCTGAATCTGAACCACTCTCCCTTATCAACTCCTCCATCGTCTCGTTATCGTCGTCCATGATGTATAAGCCCCGTCCATTCTAATAATTGGTAGTGTCTTTATCGATCAGCGGCGAGACCGAGGGACTCGCCAGCAGTAGATAAGGGTCCTCATCGGCGGAGGAGGCCAAAACAGAAGGCGTAAGATCATAATCGATCACGTCCGAATCACCTCCCCTGACGATCTGCGTCCATGGAGAAGGAGAGAACCGTGATCTCGATATTGGGCTATTGATGGAAAGGCGAGAGCTCAAATTCGCCGTCGCATCCATCATGTAAACCGGAGAGCGGCGGTGGCTCTCGAGTTCTGGGTGCCGCTTCGTGTTGGGCTAGCCTTAACCTAAGTTAGAACAATGTCGTAGCGTATTGGGCCTACGATCCATAACTACGCTGGGCCCAGTAACCAACTACTGTGAAAGACACAAATATACATTATGCATGAAAACCAAAAACTTGGACTGCGGAGTCAATTAAACATAAATATCATTGAATCCTATCAGTTATTTAGTAAAAGTCAACGAACGAGAAGGTCGATTGGACAAGGAAGATTCGAAAATGTCGACAAAGCAAAGCACCAGAAAAGGTTAGGGACGCTTTACAAACATGAATCAGAAAGAATGAAAGAAACGTGTCACATTAAAAGGGAGAGAATAAGGAGGAAAAGCAGGGAAGGGAGAGGCTTGGAACATAAACCGGCGGAGATAAATGACGACAGCGGCGGCGGCGGAGGAGCAAAGAATGGACCCACCGGCGAGCTTAGAGGTCTGGTGGAATCGCTCTCGTCATAACCTACCAACAACAAAAAAAATGCGTAGTCACATTTTATCGATGATTAACTCTATACCCTGCTAATGTAATGTGAGTATATATGTGCTTACAATCAGATTCTCTCCATCCCAACATCATCCTCTCCCGATCGTGGACGATTCTGTAGTTGGTCATGAAGTTTTCTGGTTCAATCATATAAAGCAATTCATCAGGACATATTCATATACTTAATTTAGCATTTGATATATATATATAGTTAATATGCACACTTACGTCCAATTATGTTAATAGCGGAGTCATCCTGTTTTATGACGGCCAGGCAGTATGCTGCTCCTCCCTGAGAATTCGGAGATGTAGACATGAGTCTATATACATATACATGGTATCTATCTCCACAATGCTGGGGAGCCTTACATTGGAGGTGGAGAATACGAGAACAGGGTCGAACACATGATACACATCTCCATCTTTCATTTTGAAATCGATAGTCGGAATGTTTCTCGGATCAGAACTGCAATATACATTTGTTATATGCCCCGTAAACAAAACAAACGAAGATGCAAATGACCCATTTGAGCACGATATATATGTGTATGAGAACGTACAGTGATGTTATAAGGTAGCAGAAATCGAAGGGATTGTCAGAACCGCTTGGAATTCGCCTGTCAGTGACGGACCGGTCGAACTAAACACGAGAGAAAATGGGACATATATGTGTATGTACATATAGAGAGAGACGAATAACGAGAGGATGGGGACTAAATTAAGGAGCTGTATATATATACGTTTGAAGTGAGGTGAGAGTAGAAGGGTTCAAGCAGCCATGTAACGGCGGTACCCGAATCGAAAATGGCTGAGAATTCTACGTCAACTGTCGCTCCTCCCACTCCGATTCGACTGATGGTCACACTGTAAAAGGGGCTGTTGCATCACCGGGGACGAAACATGCATGCAACTATCCGTCATGTTTTTGTTTTCATATTATAAGTTTTATCCGGTAAAGGGAAAAAAGCAGAGTATATTACAGAGGGGAGAGATTCAAGGGGGCTTGACGTTGGTCGGAGGAACCTTTGTCTCCGAAGCTGATAGTCCCAGATCCATTAGGCCCGAAACACATCGAGAAGGAATCGGAAGGGACAAGACCTGCTTTGGAGAGCATGGCGGGCACTCCTATCTCCTCCACCCCCAGTCCCATCAGCCCATTTACCGCTTCTTCTCTGAAAAGTCCCTCTTGAGACTTACTGCATCCAAGTATGATAGGAGCATGGACTGATGATTTGGAATCCTCTGAGGTCAAGTGCAACATATCTTCCACCAAAACACCACTGGCCGTCGTGTTCTTGGAGAGGTATTCAACTTTATACGGACAATCGCTGACCGGAGAAAGGCATACGTCTCTTGACGGACACATTGTGTGGTTGCATGCTACCTTTGCGCTTGATCTTGATTTGCTCGGGTCGTATATGTTGACATCCACCAACTATTTACACACATATATATGGAAACCTTATTCTCACCCTTCAGCCAGAGAAGAACAAGTGAAGTGGAATGCAAGCATGTACCTCTCCATTGTCAGTCTCGAAGGTTCGGAGGCAGGTAGAAGAGCAATTGCAGGGCAACCAGAACAAGTCGCTGCCTGTGTCTAATGCCACCAGAAACCATTGAGGCGGTGTCCCCACTGTCACGTTTGCGTAATGCAAACTGAAACGTACAAACGAAAAACACATTCATCAGCACACAGACCAAAAGGGAAGATAGAAAAGGAGGATCATATCATATAATAACAGTAATACTAAGTGATTTGTCGAGTGGAATTGCCGTCGGCGAAAGTAAGAGTGGTGTGATTGTTGGCGGCGGATGAGGCAAGGCGGCGACCCCTCAGGGCTCTATCTCCATCTACCAATGCCTTGTAGTACTCAAAACTGTCCTTCTCCGGCAACCCCTCTGATCCCCCAATCACTTTCTTCACCCTTTCTGAGAATCTGTGGTGTATTTCCATTGTCAACTTCCTCGGGCCTTCGCTTTTTCCCCATGATCCCCAACTAATAATGCATGCTACCAGCAACATCATCGCCATCTTCACCATCTTTGAAGATTGGAGAGGTTTGAGTTTCTTCTGGTCGAAGAAACTGGTATTGTTAACGTATCTCTATCGGCCCTTTCGTGCTGATTCTTCTGCCAGGGGAAAGGTCAACGTTTTGTTTGGTGGCATTACTTTGTTGCCCCATATTGAAAGTCTTCTCACTCCTTAAATCCCCTCCAATTGATGTCATTTATGTAAACCCACCAAAGGATCTCATCAACTTCATTATTATTGATTTGTTGTTGTTATTAATATTATTGATATTAATAATAAGAATATTATTATGATGATGATGATGATGATGATGATGATGATGCTGATGAGGATGATGTAATGATTGAAGCGCGGACATCTAAGTAGCGTTCAACCGAAAATGTTGTCCACCTAGCGGTTACAAAGCGGACGTGCGGGGATGTACGTATTGTCGTGTCGCTCGCTACTACTTTAAAATAAAAAATAAAAAAAATACAAATGATTGCTTAGAAACAAAACGGGAAGAATGGACTGGCTTTGAAGCATGAGTAGCAGCAATTATGGGTTCTGTTACATTAGTCATACGCTGAAACATTGCCAGAACTTGCTTTCTGAATACCGAACGGAAGGTGGCGACATACATCGATCGATCAATGCCTAAACCATTTACAATTTTTTTTTTTTATAAAAAAAATATCTACACAATGTAACGTATAGAAAACTAAGATGTACATGAATTCATCGCTGTGTATTATAAGGATAGCGAAGGTGGAATTGAACATCGTGTACGAGAGGATTCCCAGTTCGCACAGGAGGAGAACCCGCCACGCATAACGGAGGACATCCCCACTCTCTCTCCTCCTGCATGCATGCATTCCCCGTTCTCATCCCTCTCTCTCAAAAAAAAAAGAGAGAAAGAACAAAATTGGATAAACATTAAAGGGTCACCTTATCAACTGTGCTCACGGCTCCTCCTCTACTTCCATCGGAACTCTGCTGTCTGATATACACACACACACATATGTAAAAGAAGATTATGTAGCAACAGATGTATATATAACCAAAAAAAAAAAGGAAAGGGATGGATGGGGACGAACACGTGGAGGGAGCACTGGACGGGCTTGAGGAAGTCGGGGACGAAGGGACACACGCGGCGGGGCTTAGGACATAGGAGGAGCTGCTTCATCGTCGTCTCTGGTCCTCCGCAGTTATGCATCTTTCCTTCTGTTTGAGAACCAAAAGGCAATGAGCGTGTGTAGTGACGAGTGGGAGATTTTGTAGTGATGAGTGAAGCCAAGTTTGGAAACCATCACAAAACTTGTGGGGGAGCTTTTCTCACTCTCTCTATTCGCTTGGCAAGGCGTGGAATTAGGATTTTGCTCTTCTTGACCAACCCCTTCCTTTTTTTTTTTTTGAATCATTATTATTATTTACAAGGGAAATATTAACCAGGCCCATTAGGCTCATCCAAGGCCTATGTATATTGGGCCTGTAAAAGGCTATTTATTTAGTACAAATTAGAAATGTGTATATGCAATGCCGAAGAATGAATTCACCACAACGTATGAACACTACGACTGCCTTGTTTAAACATAATGCCAAAGAATCAGTTCCATACATAAGATTACACTACAACACGAGGACCTCCAGGAGCTACAATCAATCACCTGGGACGATTTGATCCATCAAAAAAAAAAAAAAAACTAATCGAGCCAACACTAGAGAGTGTGTTCCTGGACTCATCATATTCACAAGAAGAAAGCAGAGATTGCTCAGAGATCCCTTCTGCAGAGCGGGCAAGAAGCATGCCTGAGAAGCCACCTATCAATGCAATGGAGGTGGAACATATGACGGCACTGCGGCAAACTCCTCACCATCTCCCCCATTCGCAGCTCCTGCTCCATCATTCACATTCCACACCCATTACAAAACTTTCCATCTCTCACCTCCCTTCATGTCATTAAAGGAAAACCATTCTCCATCATTATATACTATGCAATGGAACTTGTCCAAATCAACCATCTAACTAAAACGCCAGAATTCTAGCCTTTGCCAAGCAGAATAGCAACTCAAAACATACCTGAAGGCAGACAGAACAAGAGAAGTCTATGTCGTTGCCCGTGATTCTCATCTTTGGGATCTTTTCCAGAGAGTCACCAGTTAGTCCCCTGGATCCACCCGTGTCAAAGATGTCTGTTTGCTCCTGGAACCTTGACTCCATGGCTCCCATCTGCACACACACACACACAAATATGCAGAATGAACAATTGTATAATGCTGCTGAGATTATATGCAGCAGCAGCAGTCAATGTACCTGACTCTGCACCGCACTTAGCATTGCTGGACCGATACGTTCTCGAACAAGTCTCCCACTTAAAAGGCTAGCAATGACGTCAACCTGTTTGAGTTTCTCATCAGATTTTGATGCTCACACACAATCAGGTCAGTAAAAAGACTTGGGGCTTCATGTTTACCAAGTAGAGGAGGCATCGAGTTCCAGATTCATCGGATTGCCAGAGGATCAGGGAAGACTCGAACACTTCGATGGAGAAAACAGCCCCAGAAATGGCCCCAATCGCAGCCCCTCTTATGAATCCGCTCTCAGTTTCTTGGCCTATCAAAGCTCCTGTGAATGCTCCCAGCCAAGTCCCCACTAAGCCACACAATAGCCAGACAATCAAAATTTTCACTTCTTCTTTCGCATTTCATCGGCAACAAAGCAGGAACAAGAAGAAGAAGCGAGTTTTGCAAATCAAACAAAGTGATAGAGGAAATCATCCACTTTCTCTCCATTAATCAACCGACTATGGGTTATGGCAAGAGGAAATCATCAACTTTCTTAGTTTCTCATTTCCGAAAGTGTATGGGATGCTTTTCCAAACGATCAATAAAGACAGGAAAGAACTGTTAAACCAAGACACGGTAGAGAAGCCCCTGTGGGAGATAATAGCTATACATGCGTGATAACTCGTACAGCATCCCATATAACCTATGAAGATTTCAGACAGGACAAGCGGATCAGGAAGCCAGATGGCCATTTACATCAAACGCGGAAAGGAAGAAAGTACAAACCGAAAGCGAAGAAAAATGTTAAGATGGCGGAGAAGATGTTGCCAAGGGCAGCTGAAACGTCGAGATTGCAGGTGTCTCTAATCCGTTGTGCAAAACTGGCCGGTGAGAAGAGGGAGAAGGGACAGAAGCGAGAGGCATATCCATAAGATTCCATGTCTGCTTGCGAAGAGGAAAAGGGTTCGAGGCGAATGATGTACGAAGGCGGAGGAGGAGGGTGCAGCTTGCGTCAATTGGAGAGGGAGGAAGAATTGAAAGGAGAGGGGGGATTCAATCCAAGAGGAAGGAAGGCACCTCCGAATCCAATTAAAATAGGAGGAAGCTTCGCCATCTGCAGGGAGGCGAAAATGGACGGAGATCGCATGTTCCTCCCCTCCTCCCTTCTCTTTCGGGGGTTAAGGATACAAGGAAAGAAGAGGAGTGGGCAAGACTTGGGGTTCCCACATTGATATACAACTTCAAACTTATCCCGGGTCAAAAAACAAATGTGTGCGGGTCCACGCCTTTGATTTCTGACTTGATTGATTTGTACCTGCAACATGTACCACTTTTCATCATACAATTCAAGATGCCTACCACAAATATCATTCGCTCTGTTTTACCAACAAAAAAAGGGAAGAGACATACGCGGCCTTTCTCTACCATTAACGTATTGCATAGGCCCATCGCGTCCTTACTTTCCATGCGCGTCGGCCCATTAAGGCCCATAATCAGTCCAATACATTCGACCGGCCGGGCGGAACGAGTCCCGTCATCCGAAGACGACAATGCAAGTGGCGGTGGTTCCACACGCCTTCTCTCTCTTCCTCCCCTCTACTCGGCCTCCCCGCTCCCTCATCTTCCCCCGACGGTTACGCTCTTTCTCCCCCTCTTCTCCGTGGGATTCCGCTGACGCCGGCGATGACTTCGTTGTCGGCGACTGTCTCGTCTTTGAGGACGGCGTCTTCGAAGACCCCCTCCGCGACCACGGCGTTCGTTTCGTCACTGCTCCTGCCGAGGAGTCCCGGAAGACGAGGAGACGGAGCGCAGCGAAGACGAGAGGAGAATCTGAGATCGAGCCGCAGAACCTGGTGCCGGAAGAATGGAGGGAGGTGCAAGCTGAGGTCAATTTGACGAAGAAGGAGAAGCGGAAGATCGCACAGCAGCTGGAGTTCGGTGTCCGGGTGGAGAAGAAGAAGCAAGCTCTGACTCCACTGAGGGATGTCGACCTCAAAGAATATCTGATCTACAAGGAAGCCAAGTTGGCTCAATTGAAGCCTGTGGTTCTCGATAAACCCACCAGTTTTCCAGACGACGGAGAGACTGGTGTTGCTTCTTCGAGCGAGCGAGTCGCTCCGAAGAACCCTAGATGGGCTGTTTACGGGAGGGGGTTCGATCATGTCACCAAGTTATTCAATAGTGAAAATTACGAGCCCGGTGGCAAGAAATCCGACGGTTGGTTTTACTCAATTTCTCTCGGATGATAAGACTGACAAGATTTCATCTTGTTTCTTCGCTGCTTTCGGCTCTTATATTCCGCTGTGGGTACTGATTCTTATGGATTAACAGGCCCTCCTAGGAAGCTGTTCACAAAGGAAGAAAAAGTTCTACTGAACAGCCGCATTCCTGACCTTGCTGTGTCCACCTCTGTAAGTCCCCTTGGTCGCCTGGTTTCCAGATTGTGCATTGGTTCAAAAAAGGGAAATTCAATTTCATTCGTGTGTCCAGGCTAGGCTTAGTTAGGTTCTTGCCCTTGGACTGGTTTTGGTCTTGCAGTCATCTGGTTTTTGTGGTTCTGAATCTGCTGTCTTAAATTCTGATTAACTAGTTAATTTATTTGATGGATGTGCTATCAGAAAAAATGGCTGCCTCTACACACACTGGCTGCGTCAGGGGAGTTTTACCTTGTTGATTCCTTGCTGAAACACAATGTCGATATCAATGCAGCTGACATGGTATGCATGATTTTTGGACATGCTCTCCTTGCATGTGTTCTACTACTACTGTCTCTTTTTACTATTGTTTTCATGTTGGTTTTCAAGGATGGTTTGACAGCACTTCATAGAGCTATAATCGGTAAAAAACAGGCCATTACAAACTATCTACTGAGAGAATCAGCTAACCCGTTTGCTCTTGACGAGGTGAGTGAGTGATCAACTTCACCCATTTATGCTGCTGCCATCTTCCTCTAAGGTAATTATTTGTGGAGGACAGGAAGGTGCAACCATGATGCACTATGCAGTGCAAACGGCATCAGCTCCCACAGTCAAGCTTCTTCTGCTGTATAACGTTGACGTAAATGCTCAAGACAAAGTATGGTCAATGAATATTCCTTTTCTTGCTGTCGTCTGATACGCCTCTGCTGTCATAATTAGTAGCTGAATCGATGGTTTCACATCGCCTTTTTCAGGATGGGTGGACGCCCCTGCATGTTGCAGTTCAGGCGAGAAGAGCCGACATTGTCAAACTTCTGCTAATAAAAGGGGCCAATAGAGATGTGAAGAACAAGGTAGTTTGAGATCTTTCTCAATGACACCCTTAATTTATCTTTCAAAAAAGAGAGAGTTAAATAGACAGACAATGGTTTTGGTATTGTGTCAGGACGGATTAACGCCACTCGGCCTGTGCCTCTACTCCGGACGAGACACTAGGACGTATGAGTTAATCAAGCTGTTGAAAGAGGTCCCCCGTAGCAGACGCAAGAGCGCTCTCACTAAGGGATGAATCTATTCAAACAACTGAACATGTAGCATGTGTAGTCATTTCAAGCGTGGTAATGTCAGACATTGGTTCACATCGTTGACGAAAGGACTGGACAATGGCAGAGTGAGGGTGTAGAAGTGGAGGCGCCATGGACACTAAGCAATGATTCTTGAAGGCGATATACATGGGAATTTAAAGATAAATGGAAGGATCTGTAGTGCATATCAGATTTTGTAGATGTTTTGTTTTAGGTGTATGATATAATCAGAGATTGTTGGAGACCCAACTCGAGAATTTTGAGATGGGGATGGGCTGTAGGAAAAGGGCCTTGGGCCCATCTAGGTTCTTCGGTATGTTATTATAAAATCTGAATTTCCAACTTTGGGCCTTTTGCCCTTATCGGTAAAGATGGCTTGTAATTGTAATTGGTGGGTGGGTGCCTAATACCGTCATGTTCAGAAACTATATATATGTATGTACATATATCCACAACAATAAAGAGGAATAATAATAATAATGCCCATGTGATATGTCTATATTCCCATCACTCCAAAGATGACGTGTATAATTAGCCCACCATGTCATCAATACTGATCAGATATGTGATTGGATTTTCAAAACTATAACACGCTCCGCGCGTATTGAAATGTAAGAATCTTGAGAAGATAATAATCAAAAAGGCAATAAAATATGTTGTAAGAAGACATAGAATAAATTGCCAAATTGGAGGAAGGCACAAGGATAATAACGGGGATTGAAATGAATGACGTGGCATATTAATATTCGTGGGGGAGAAAAAGATGATCCCGGAATTACATTAAAGACTTATCCATGATTTGATTTTTAATCCAACTCCCCCCCCCCTGTTGATGTCAACTTTCGAAGGGATCCTCTCTCCACCAAATTCCTCAGCAGACCGCGACGATGACCGGACTCGCCTTCTGCCCTGCCGATCTCCGCCTCTTCTCGCCGGAGCCCAAGAGTTTCACCCTCTACATCTCTCCATCTCCCTCCTCCCTTCGATGCTCCATCCCCTTCTCCCTCAGATCTCTGCGCTCCCCTCCTCCCGCCAAATTCCTTCCCATTTGCTGCCATGGAACCTCCCGATCCGGCCTCGGCGACGATCCCAATCTCGACTTTCTTGAAGCTTCTGTCCTCGTTTCAGGTCCCTCTTCCCTTTTCATTGCATTCGTGCCATTCCTCTTTTTTCGTGTGCGTGGTGTTTCCCCGATTCCTGTTGCTTGACTCTGTCGTTTAGGTGTTGTCTATTTCATGTGTCGGCGGGGCTTCAATAACGTGTATAATCATTGCCCCCGGTGCGATTCTTGATCTCTGTTAGGATTTCAACCTTCTAGGGTTTTTACCAATTTTCGTTTTGTTGCAAAGGTTTCCGCCATACTCCTTCGTCGTCCGCTTTTTTATTGTCTTTTGCTACTGTATGGATGGTACAATATGGATGAGAGAATGGACGATTAGCCTTGTGAATCATTTGTCGTTTGATCTTGACGCATCACGTCGCTAAATTTGGATATCTTTTAAACTACAACAGAGACGACTATGCATTACAAAATGCGGAGGCAAGGATTTCGTGAAGATTCAATTTGGCAGTTTTCTAGGCGTTCACCTCCGTTCGCCATAAGAGCCAGTGAATCCAGAGTCGGTGTTTCCACGATCGCACTTGGCTTTCTCCGCCGCTTTAAATACCCCACAATTTTTTTGAAGATCTCTTGTGATGGTGACTATTTGCTACCCATTATCGTAGGTGGGTGCATGAATGCATATGCATTGTAAAAAATACTTGCTATCTGTGCTTGTTTCTTCTGTTTATTGCTCATGTCCAGCTCTAACTTTGGCCTTCTACACTCTCAGGAGATGCTGCTGTCGAGAAACTACTGCATTCTTCGCCGGAAAATGAGAATGAGGTATCATGAAAACATGAGTCTGTATTACATTAATGCTTTTGTGATTTGGTTTTTTGAATCTAACCTGTTAGCATTTGCGTAGGAATGCCCTGATCAGTATGAGTTTGTGGCTGCCGCTGTGGACAAATTTGGATATGAAGTATTGGCTTCCAGCATATTCATTTTGTGTTTTGATCCAGAATTTGATCATTTCTAATTCCTGTAGCCACTTGTTTAGCAAGCTGTGATGTGTTATCCCTTTTGTGATAGGTCCAAATGGTGAAGATTACGAATAGAGTTGTCAACACATACTATGCAAAACTCTATCTTGGCAAGGTATTTGAAAGACTGTAAGCGTCATTGTTTTATATCGAAAATCCTTTTTTCATAGATTGATCCGTCTGTTCTACAGCGAGGAAACAACGATCTTATAAGCATTGATGCACGGCCTTCAGATGCCATAAATATCGCAAAAGCATGCCAGGTATAGTACCATGCTTTTAATAGTTCTGTTGGAATCTTTCAGTTCGTTTTTCTTCATCCAGGGAAATGAAATGGATTTTCTGACCTGTTTAAATTATCAAGTTTCCATTGAAACTTCAGCCTCACAATAACCTTTAATTGTTTGTTCTGTTGCAGGCTCCAATATATGTAAATAAAGAAATTGTCTTGACAGATGCTATTAGAATTGGTTATGGAGGCAGATCGCAGAGCACAAAGCCTATTTTCGATGTCATCCTTGACAGGTTTTTTTTTTTTTTTTTTTTTTTTTTTT